GTGTGTGTGTGTGTGTGTGTGTGTGTGTGTGTGTGTGTGTGTGTGTGTGTGTGTGTGTGTGTGTGCGTGTGTATTTGTGTGCGTGTGTGTGTGTGTATGTGTGTGCGTGTGTACGTGCGTGTGTGTCTGTCCGTCTGCAAGTCTGTCCGCCCGTAATGATTCTCTCTTCCTTCTTCTTCCATCTTTTACACTCCCTTTGCTCTCTGTCCTTCGCTCTCTCTCTCTCTAGCGCAACGAATAGACTAGTGTGAACAAAATGACTTGTGTCAGATACTGGCAAAGCAGAATTTGCTCTACGCATCAATACATCAAATTCCGCCTGCTTGAGACACCTCACATCTCACACATCGCACTCACTGTCAGCTGGCGGGAAAAGCTTTTCCGCGCATATACATAGGCCTCTTTGAAACAGACAGACCGACTCTGCGCTTTGCGCGGAGCACAGCAAAGTCACTGGTGCAGACGATGTACCTTGCGATAGCGGTTTTACAATAGCCGGTCCCCGCGCATCGCACAGCAAAGTCACTGGTGCAGACGATGTACCTTGCGATAGCGGTTTTACAATAGCCGGTCCCCGCGCATCGACTCAACAAGCGCTGTCGCCGGAGTCTTCTAGAAGGGTCGGCAGAAGACGAACTCGTTGTAGTGGTTCCACTTGGACTCCTCCGTGTCCTGCCCCGACGCCTTGTTCATGCCGTCCGCCGGGCCGTGGAAACCCGTCGCGCCGCTCGCGCAGCTGCCGACGCACGTGAATCCGGAGTCGCTAAGCATGTCGAACGCCTGCTCGAGGAAGTTGTGCTTGAGAAAGAAGCGCGACGTGTAGCGGTCCGTGTGTCCCGGCCCGCGGTCTGGATCTCGGTTCTCGTTCAGCGTGTCGCCGAACACGTCCTTGCACGGTCGCACGCGCCCGCAGACGAGAATGCGCGACAGCTTGCGAAACTTGACGTCGGCCATGCCGTCGCGACCGAACGCGAACGTGCCGCGATAGCCGACGGTGATGTACGTGCTACGCGCCGACGCCGCCGCCGCCGCCGACGAGGGGCTGTTCGAGTAGACGGCGCCGCGCGTCGCCACGGCGTGCGACGCGCGCACCGCGTGCGGATGCGACAGCATCGCGTGTGCGTGTATGATGACGGCCTTGTCGATGCACTCCACCATGCTGGCGAGTCGGAAGAACTCCGCCTCGCTGCGTAGCCGATCCTTCTCGTGGAAATTTTCCGGCAGCACGAGCTTCTCGTTGCGCAGAAAGTCGAGCACGTAGCGAAAGAGGACGCCGTCGCGGTCGAGAAAGAATTTGCCCTTCGAGTCCCGAATCGGCGCCTTCGCCTTGCCCGCGAACAGGTCGTGAAGGTGCGAGTCGACGTCCTTCGTGATTGTCGTCAGCGACGTCGTGTAGAAGACGCCGCCGACGTTCAGCTCGATGATCGACGGAAGGCCGACGTCGTTATGATTCGAGTTGGTCGCGTTCGTGTCCGACGACGACATGGCGGCGGCGGCGGCGACGGAGATGAGCGACGGTCGTGGTCGTGGTCGGCTGGCGGACGGTCGCCGTGTGTCGGCTGGCTATCGGTGGGCGACGACGGCGACGACGGACATGACAGCGTCGGCATGCACGCAGACGCAGGCTAGCATCAACAACAGCAACAGCAACAGCGACAACAGCAGCAGTGGTGCAACACCTGCCTTTCGCCTTTCGTGAATTATATCACTGATTAAAATCGCATCGAGTTTCGCCGCCACGTCAGGACGCTATAAAATCAATCCGCTGTTGCGACGACTGTACGAATGAATGCAGAAGAGGCGCGCACACTTCCACCGACACACACACACACACGGGCTTAAGATCCGCCGGTAACAGACGCGCTGGCTGGCTGGCTGGCTGGCTGGAACTGTACGGCAGCGAGGCAACAACACACCGTTCTCCTGGCTGTGTGTAACTGCGGAGTAGATGCAAGCGCGCACACTCGTGAAGCGTGTCCTGATACGAACGATACCCAGCAGCAGACTGTGCGCACTGGCCGATGCGGAGGCGCTAGTGAAGGCTTCGCATGACGCACAGTGACGAACGCGGACAGCAGACGCCGCGCAGCTGCCGGCGCGCCATCGCCGTAAACGTAGCGGGGGCTTCGTGCGCATGCGCCGCTCGATATGCACGCAGACTCCCGGCGCGCGATTGCGCACGCGTGCTTCAGTTCGTGCGTACGTGCGGGCGTGCGCGCGCTCTCTTATATACATGTTGTGTGCGTGTGTGTGTGTGTGTGTGCTTGTGTGTGTGTGTGTGTGTGTGTGTGTGTGTGTGTGTGTGTGTGTGTGTGTGTGCCGTGTGGTGTGGTGTGTGTGTGCATGGTGCGCGCGCGCGTGTGTGTGTGTGTGTGTGTGTGTGTGTGGTGTGTGTGTGTGTGTGTGTGTGTGTGTGTGTGTGTGTGTGTTGTGTGTGTGTGTGCGTACGGGCGTGTAAAGGATGCGTGCTTTGCGAGCAGCTAGGAAATTGCCGGTCGACATTATTTTTTGAGAATTAACGCGAATAGAGAAGCAATGGACGTTCTGCTCATATACATCCATCTGCGGCGTCCCGTCAAAGCTGCACACACGCTCCCGAGCTTAACTATTATACGCCGTGTGATGCGGTTTATACCTTCTAATCATTCTTCCTCACGATTCTCTTCTCTCTCTCTTTTCTCTCTCTCTCATCCTCTCTCTCCTCTCTCTGCTATCGCTCTGTCAGTCTTCCTTTCTCTCTCTCTCTCTCTCTCATGCTTCTCTATCGCTCTGTCAGTCTCTCTCTCTATCTCTCTCTCTCTCTCTCTCTCTCTCTCTCTCTCTCTCTCTCTCTCTCTCTCTCGTCTCTCTCTCGTCTCTCTCTCTGTTGTCAGTCTCTTTCTCTCGTTGTCTGTACCTATCTCTCTCTCTCTGCCTCTCTCTATCTGTCTGCCCTTCTCTCTCTCTCTCTTTGCATCTCTCTCTCTTTCTCTCTCTCTCTCTATCTATCTATCTAATCTATCTATCTATCTATCTATCTATCTATCTATTCTATCTATCTATCTTATCTATCTATCTATCTATCTATCTATCTATCTATCTATCTATATCTCTTACTTTCGCTCTCTCTGTCTCTCTCTCTCCCTGTCTCTCTCTGCCTCTCCGTCTTTCGCCATCTCTCTCTTTGTCTCTCTCTTTCTCTCTCTCGCTTACTTTCGACATCCAAAGTATGCGACTCCATAACTCACGCATGAAGGATACAAAGCTCCTCACTCTTGTATGATTAGCCATCAAGCCGGCCCGGCTGTCTGTGATTGTAGGTAGCATAAATCAAGGCAGCACCTCTTCTAAGCGCGCGGATAAAGCTGGTAATAAATCGGAAGAGGAGGAGGAGGCAGAGGAGCGCCTGCTGCCATGCATACAAAGCTGCTAATGAGCGGATTAGCATCAATGATGCAAGCGATGATGCGGATTATGATCACATCTGTCGAGCATCTCTCTCTTACGGCAGCTGAGGATCGCTGCTGTCATGATCAGAGCTGACAGGCTGTGACGTCATCGCTGCAGGATGCGAGCTCGTGACGGCAGGTGTCGCGCGGGAGCGTATGTGTGTGTGTGTGTGTGTGTGTGTGTGTGTGTGTGTGTGTGTGTGTGTGTGTGTGTGTGTGTGTGTGTGTGTGTGTGTGTGTGTGTGTGTGTGTGTGAGTGTATGTGTGTGTGTGTGTGTGTGTGTGTGTGTGTGTGTGTGTGTGTGTGTGTGTGTGTGTGTGTGTGGTGTGTGTGTGTTGTGCGTGCGCTGCGCGCACGGCGTGTGTCTGCTGTGGTGGTAGTTAGTAGTGATGGTGGATGGCGGAATTCTGCGCTGTCACGTTATTTGTTCATAATCAGATAGGCGTGGGTGTGCGGCGAAGCAATCAATTTCTTCTTCTTACATGTTTACAGTTCGGCTACCTCATCGACATACGATTATATATCGACCACGCGTTAACCTGTAACTCGCCAAGCGTACGCGCACACACTCACATACCCACGCGCACATAACACACACACACACACCACACACACACACACACACACACACGCACACACACACACACACACACACAACACACCCACACACACCACAACACACACACACACACACACACCACGCCCGCACGCAACGCACAAACACACCCACACATTTTTTACTTCTGATATATATATATATATATATATAATGTGCGGAATGGAAAATGTATAGTGGGTAACCATCATTTGATGGGTTGCCTTTGCGGACGCAAAGTTAAGATTTAATGCACACGTTTCAACAGAAACTATGGCAACAAACATGGCGTAAACTGTTAGCCTAATTACTGTTCCTCCATGTTTCTCACAAATTCTGTCGTCGTAAAATAGATTTCCTTACCTAAAATCAGATCTGGCATGCAGGTGCCAACTCCGTGCCCCCGTATGGTTGCATGGTATTTTAAAAGGAGATCCGGCACTCAGGCACCAGACATTTCGTTTATCGGTATTACATATATATATATATTATGTTGCCCGGTACGCACGCACGTGCGTGAGTGCGTGCGTGTTTGTGTGTACGCGTGTGCGTGTGTGCGCGTGCATGTGGTGCGTGCGGTGGGTGTGTGCGAGCGTGTGAGCATTTGATGTATGTGCGCTCGGGCGTGTTTCACGTCAACGAGATAAGACGTCGGGCGTCACGCGAAGATGACCTCCGTCGCGAGGCGAAAACCCACGGAATAGTTTAGTTATGCGCACTTGTTGCGCTTTCATTGAACGTGACTTCCTTAACGACCTAACGAACAACAACTGTTATCCGCGCTGCTTTCCATACCAGCCGTAATTGGACGCTCGTCCCTTCGTCGCGGCTTTTGTTCACACGTAACTCATTCACAATGGACGTAATGATCCCGCCCGTAAATTCGCACACTGCTGACATGCGACTAATGAAGACGAAAAAGATTTCATTCACCTGGGCGGTGAGGCGTCATCGATCTTGTCATGATATGCGAGAGCACGGATGCAGGATGCAGATCACGGAACCCGCCCGCATAACATCATGTTGTCGTGTGCTGCTGGTTGTGGGTTGCGTCTCTCATCTGTGTGCGTGTGTGTGTGTGTTGTGTGTGTGTGTGTGTGTGTGTGTGTGTGTGTGTGTGTGTGTGTGTGTGTGTGTGTGTGTATGTGTGTGTGTGTGTGTGTGTGTGTGTGTGTGTGTTGTGTGTGTGTGTGTGTGTGTGTGTGTGTGTGTGTGTGGTGTGGTGTGTGTTGTGTGCGTGCGTGCATGCGTGCGTTGTGGTGTGTGTGTGTGTATGTGATTGTATGTGTGGTGTGTGTGTGTGTGTGTGGTGTGTGTGTGTGTGTGTGTGTGTGTGTGTGTGTTGTATGTAGTGTGTGTGTGTGTGTGTGTGTGTGTGTTGTGTGTGTGTGTGTGTGTGTGTGCGCGGCCGCGCTGCGTGTTTTCGTATGGGCGTGCAAGGAAGGGTACGTGCTTGAGTGAGTGAGTGTCCGCGTACTCATACGTATGTGTACGACGCATGCATATACGTATGTATATATCGACCACGTTAACGCTGTAACTCCCAAGCGTGCGCGCGCACACACGCCACTCGCGCACCGTCAGCACACACACACACACACACACAACACACACACACACACACACACACACACACACACACATATACACACACACACACACTCACACACGCGCGCGCGCACGCACACACACACATGCGCAGACACACACACACTCACAGTCACACACACACACACACACACGCGCACGCACGTACGCACGCACGCACGCACATGCGTGCATGCCTGCGTACGTGCATGTGTCTGCTCGCATGTGCGTGTGGGCGTGCGTGTGCGTGTGGGCGTGCGTGTGGGCATGCGTGTGCGTGTGCGTGTGCGTGTGTGTGTCAGGACGTGTGCGTGTGCGTGTGCGTGTCCGTGTACGTGTGTGTGTCACGGCGTGCGTGCGTGCGTGCGCGTGTGCGCGCAGAGGTATGGTTCGTGCGTGCATGTACAATATAATGGCGAATACAGCGTCAATCACACACGTCGGGGATCGGATTGGGTTCTGCTACTTGAGAATGTATAAATCCATACGCGCCACATCGGAGAGTCGTCACTGATCGATGCAGAAGGTCAAAGGTCAATCGATTAACTTCGTAATCGATCGCATCGTATTCGCCACGCGAATGACTGTAATTAACTCGGCGTGCTATCCGCTGCTTTTACCGTGCGTGCGTGCGTGCGTGCGTGCACGCGTGCTATCCGCTGCTTTTACCGTCCGTGCACGCGTGCGTGCGTGTGTGCGTGCGTGCGTGCACGCCTGCGGAGATAAACTCGTACGGGCAGCAGCTTGCGTGGACGGTAATGACTTTGTTTCTCGTGATGAATGCCACACTCACATCACAGTTCGGCAGCTGGCAAAGCGCAGCCGCATCACGGCGCACAGTTGACGCAGCTCTCAAAAAAAGCGTGCAAAGCAAGGCTTTACTAACGCACTCGGCGCCTGCCTGCATGTACCCGCCCGGAACGATGTAATAGAACCGCAGCGAGCTATTCACAATGATACGTATATACGAGGCAGCTCGCAATCACGGCCTGCGATCCTCTACATGTTAGACATTGTCGTGTTATTATTACTCTAACATTAATAGGTTCAATGGAGGCTTATCTACACTGACCAGCCGTGGCTCGTCGTTGATGACATTTCGCTTGCTTCCCCCAGAGTCACGAAACACGTCTTTCTTTCTCTCTCTCTCTCTCTCTCTCTCTCTCTCTCTCAGCGCTGCCATCCGATAAACCTCTCTTCGCCAACCGCTCACGTGAAAGAATGCGCCTATCCACGTCGAGTGATTGTTAGGTAGCTCTAGCCAATCATTGCTGCGACAGGCGCCTCCTAAACGCTGCTTAGTAACGAAGTGACGCAAGGTTGAGGTTGCGGCGTGTTTATCCGCGGTTTAATTATGTATTAGAAGACCTATGATTGAGTAA